CAGACTGAAACAGGCTCCAGGCTCTGAGCTGGCAGTCAGCACAGAGCCCGACGCGGGGCTCGAACCCACGAACCGCGAGATCATGACCTGAGCGAAAGTCGGACGCTTAACCGACTAAGCCACCCAGGCGCCCCGGCGGGACTGTAATTCTTGACTGAGTGCTTGACGTCGTCTGTGAAAATTTCCTGCAGCTGCGGGTGAGTTTCTCTCCTTCTGAAGAGTTTCACTGCTCACTCCGGCTGGCCGCCTGAGTGGGCAAGGGCCTCACCAACGTGAGGCTGCTCCCGGGGTTTAGCCACCCAGGGGTCCCCCCAGAGCGGCTCGCCCGGGCCAGTCGTCAGAGTTGCTGCCTCCTTGGTGACGAGAGTGCGGATTCCTCTCGGGCTGTCCTAGCTTTCCGTGGGCATCCCCACTACGGTGCCTGCGAGGCCTGAAAACGTGCAGACGTTCTAGACGGGAGAGAACAGGAGCATGTCTGTATTTTATGCAGCTTTTCAAACTGTCCTCAGTGAGAGTATATCCGACGGCAAACACCTCCCCTCCCTTGCTCGGCCACGCACCCCCAGCTTACAGATCAGTTCCTATACCTCCCAGGATGCCAGGCTCGAATCTATCCTATTTTTATAACTCAAGACATACAGAAAGACAACAGCCCATGGTTTATCGCATTCTTACAGCTCCCCCGGGGCCTGTCAGGAACCCCTCTCACTGGGGGTGAGAACCACTGCCGGACGCGGAAGGGCGGAAAGGGCAGGGTGAACATTTAAGCCCAGGGACTGCCCGGGGCGGGGGGGCGGCGGGGGCGTCACAGGCCCTCCGGCCAGGCTGCCTCTCCTGCCCTGCTGCTGAGTCTGCTGCTCTCTGACATCACAGGGTGCCGAGAGCCCGCCTCCCTGCCCACCGCGCTCCACGTGCTGGCCGCCAGGGACCAGTGAAGCTTTCGTGCTGGCGTTAGACCCCATTTCCAGCGCACACGGCGGGAGCTTGGCTCCACAGGGAATAAACCCATGCTTGGAAGGTGCGAGGAGCGGAGAAGATGGAAACTCCCCCAGCAGGGGACCCCAAAGCACGTGGTGGCTTTGCATTTGCAGAAGGAAGGAAGGGGTTTGCCTGATGTTCCTGGCCAGAGTCGCCCGGGAATTTTTCAGTGTTAAATCAAGAAAATCAATAGGATTTGATAAGCACAAAAGCAGTTGCTATTTTCCCTATGGAGGCAGCTGGGGTCCCCCTTTCTTTGGGGAGAAAACGGGGAGCTCCGTTTATACACACAGTTTGCAGCACTTGGGGGAAATGCAAGTGGGAATCAGAAGGCCACGGACAGACAGGGTCGGCAGCCTCAGTGAGTGGTCAGGCAGAGGACAGGGGCTTGCACGGCCACCCAAGGACCCCTGACTGCCCCCCCTTCACTGCCAGCCACCTGCACCAGTGCCCTCAGGCTCCCTGTAGCAGACATAGTTCCGTGGGGGTCACGACTAGGAAAGTGCTGGCCACACGCCCCCGTTGACCCCGGTTCCTCCAGCCTGTCACTCGGAAGCCGTGCCCCCCGATGAGCAGAGCCCCCGGTGAGCGCAAAACCCATCCACGTGCCTCTGTTAGAATATCCGGATTTCTTATGCAGCCAACACAGCCTCAGGACACGGTGTTTTCAGACTCACGCCTTTTCTAGCTCAACACACATTCTGGATGCTCCGGATGCGTCAACACACTCCAAAATATCCCCGGAGTTTTGCAGCTGAGCAACATCTCATAGAACCAAACATAAGCCTGGAGCTAATGAGAGTCACCTGGGCTGCGAACACCAACAAGGAAGGAGGCGTGTGGGCCGCCGGCGGGGACAACACTCTCCCGGGAGTATAAAAGCCGACAGCCAGCCGGAGCTCCTCACACACTCACACTCACACTCATACTCACTCACACTCACACGCACCCTCCTCCAGCCCCGCCCCCACCATGGCCGCGTCCACCCTGTCCGTCTGCTCCAGCGACCTGAGCTACGGCAGCCGCGTCTGCCTGCCCGGGGCCCCTGACTCCTGCCCCGGCTCCTCCTGGCAGGGGGGCGACTGCCCAGAGAGCTTCTGCGAGCCCCCCTGCTGCGCCCCCAGCTGCTGCGCCCCCGTGTGCTGCACCCCTGTGTGCTGCAAGCCCATCTGCTGCACCCCTGTGTGCTGCAAGCCCGTCTGCTGCACCCCTGTGTGCTGCAAGCCCGTCTGCTGTGAGGACTCCCCCTGCACAACCTCCTCTTGCTGCACTTCCTCCCCCTGCCAGGGAGACTGCTGCAACCCTGTCTGCTGCACCCCTGTCTACTGCAAACCCGTCTGCTGCACCCCTGTGTGCTGTAAGCCCGTCTGCTGCACCCCTGTGTGCTGCAAGCCCGTCTGCTGCACCCCTGTCTGCTGCAAACCCGTCTGTTGTGAGGACTCCTCCTGCACAACCTCCTCTTGCTGCACCTCCTCCCCCTGCCAGGGAGACTGCTGCAACCCTGTGTGCTGCACCCCTGTGTGCTGTAAGCCCGTCTGCTGCACCCCTGTCTGCTGCAAGCCCGTCTGCTGCACCTCTGTCTGCTGCAAGCCTGTCTGCTGTGAGGACTCCCCATGCACAGAATCCTCCTGCGGCACCTCCTCCCCCTGCCAGGGAGCCTGCTGCACCCCTGTGTGCTGCAAGCCCGTCTGCTGCACCCCTGTGTGCTGCACCCCTGTGTGCTGCAAGCCCGTCTGCTGCACCCCTGTCTGCTGCAAGCCCGTCTGCTGCACCCCTGTGTGCTCCGGGTCCACCCCCTGCTGCCAGCCCAGCCCCTGCTGCAGACCCCCCTCCTCCATGTCCCTGCTCTGCCGCCCCGTGTGCAAGCCTGCCTGCTGCACCCCTGCCTCCTGCTGCTGCGCCCCTGCCTCCTGCTGCCGCCCGGCCCCCTGCGTGTCCCTGCTCTGCCGCCCCGCGTGCCCCCGCCCCGCCTGCTGCGGCCCCGCCTCGGGCCAGTCCTGCTGCTGAGTGATCTTCTGAAGGGCGCCCTAAAGCTTGAGCGCTCCTCCACGCACCCTGGGTTGCTTACAAAGCACTGAGACAGGTGTCAGTCCCCTTTCCTGCGCCCCTGCAGTGGACACCGGTCCCCAACCCCAATTTGTATCCGTCCTCCTACAAAGAGCTCACTCATTTCCTCAAGTACTGACCTTGCCCAGTCAGCGTGCCCTGCCTCCTCAGTCTGGGTTGGCAGTGACCCCAGCAAGGCCAGCCGGGCTCCCACACCCCCGAGCCTTATGCGGTGTGAATGGAGAGAAGGTACAACCCCCGGAGCTGGTTTCGCACTGTCGCCTGTCGCCCGGACCCCGTGTGGCCTGCTCCTCCGCTGATTCCTGAGCTGGTTTCTCTATCGGCCCTTGTGCTGTGAGCCATCAGTCCCTCCAATAAAGTCTTTTCTTTATCAACTTAACCAGAATCCATTTCTGTGGCTTCCAACAGAGACCCCACTAGGCCCCCCCCGCCACGAGGGCCATCATGCTTCTCCCGGGGCCCTTCGGCAGCGTCCGGTCCATGCCTCTGGCTACATGCACGTCCAAGCACGACACACTTTCAAGGCCATAAAGGCTGACTTATCTACCCTGGGAAAGAGCCACCCTGCGGGGTGACTTCCCCAGACCCAGAGTGTCTCAGCCCCCCACTCCCCTACACAGAAGGATGTGTAGTTTGGGGCTCCCACCCAGGCGATTGGAGGGCCTCAATGGGCATAAACTGTGTGACTACTATGGCTTGTGCTGACCCCTGCTCTCCCCGGGGGTCTGGAATTTGGGTACGAGCCAGGCGGAGGGAGCCCGCGTGACCAGGCCCTGATAAAAACCGTGGGCGCTGATCTCTGATGAGTCCCTGTGGGGACACATCACGCACATTGTCACAGCTCCTAGCTGGGGAGTTAAGCGCATCCTGTAGGAACCCCCCTCCCCCGGAAGGGGCTCTGGAGACATGTGCCTGCCGTCCCTTGACTTCTCCCCATGCGCATTTTTCCTATTTGTGCTGAATCCCCCAGCAAACCACCAAATCCTGGGGACCCCCACACCCATCAGATTGGCGGAAATGTCCAAGTCTGACGACAAGCATGGCTCTCTGCTCAGTGCTGCTGGCCACAGTCTTCCGGTTTCAGGGCGAGGTGGCAATGATCCGGTTAGGCCGAGGGCGTGCACACCCCAGGGTGGCTCTCCCGGAGAAGTCTGCGCGTGCTGCACCTGACCCCCGGCCGGTTATTTCACCACGGGGTTCAAAAGGCATAAATGTTAAAAACCAGTGAGCACCCCTCGGTGGAGAACAGACGGCCGGAGCGCAGAGGATACACACAAAGGAAGAGCATATGGCACTTAAACCGACCAAACCAGAGAAACACACCAACATGGATGGGTCTCAAAAACATGACATTGAGTGAGAACAAAAGTCACGTTGCAGACTGATCACACGTTGCAGAAGAGCACACACCGGAAGGTTAAAACCACAAAGTAACACCTTGTCTTCGGGGCTGCGAGCATCTCTGCTAAAACCACAAAAGCATGCATGGGGTGTGCACACCAGCCTCCAAACAGGGGCTGCCCCAAGGGGAGATGAGGGGGCCCATGGGGACATCGTTAAGTCCATATTCCATATTCCATGGGGAACATTCCGTACATATGGCAAAATGTTAAGATTTCTGTTAATTTGTAGATATGTGATTATCTACTATATTATTTTTTATGCTTTTTGAAGTATTGTATAATAAAAATACTAACCAGAAAAGTAAAAACATGTTATATAGACCAATTCCTGAGCCAGATTCAGTAAGACAAAGTTAGATCAATAAAAAGAAAGGTTCATTGGAAAAGTTTAAAGTTGCTCTTTCAAACTGGGAAGAGAACAGAAATGCAAATACAAGTTCCCAGGACATAAAGGAAGCAGGTCCTACATCTCAGGCCTGGGGGTTTGTGTGAAGCAGGACTCAGAGGGCAACCAAATCCTTTAAGGACACACAGCAGAAACTAAGCAAAACTGAAAATAAGGTTTCAGTTCAGAAAGTTAAAGAAAACCTCCAAAGGAAATAAAAGAAACAAGTTAATAAAATTAATCAATTAAAAACAGAAAAAGCAATAGTAGATATAATCAATAAAATTATTTTTTAATGTTTTTTTAAAATTTATTTCTGAGAGAGAGAGAGGCCACATGAGCAGGGGAGGGTCAGAGAGAGCGGGAGACACAGAATCAGAAGCAGCTCCAGGCTCTGAGCTGTCAGCACAGAGCCCGATGTGGGGCTCGAACCCACAAACTGTGAGATCATGACCTCAGCCGAAGTCGGACACTTAACTGACTCAGCCACCAGATGCCCCAAGAAAATTATTTTTGGAAGGTCTATAAAAGAATAAAAATGTTGGAAAACCTGAAAGAGAGATAATGGATATTAAATATGAAAACAGGCACATGATTGGCAACGGAGAAAACGTTAAATTATAGAAGAATATACATCTTCAAGTCAACACGATAAAATTTTTTAGGCAAGGGGATAATTGTGCCAGGAAGGGTATGACACGTGAGAAGCTAGGGATCCTAGGAGAACTTCAGGGGACAGGCGACACTTTCCGTCACACAAAGCCAAGATCCAGAGGTGGATACAAGTACCGACTCGCAGGCCAAGGGGCCCCCAGAAGCCCAGTCACAACCCTCAGCCGCAGTGCCACTTGATTCCCTATCAGGACGCCACCACAGTTCAGCGGGGTAATGACGAGACCGGCCTACTGGCTGTCCATATGGGGCACACAAACTTTGCCTTCCACCTCACACCATATGCAAAATTAACGGAGGGGAGGCAGGAATCTTAGGGCTTCACGTGGAAGGTCCAGAAGGGCACACCGGAGCGTGTCCTCACCGCGTGTGGCAGGCGAAGACTGGAAATAGTTAGCAAAAAAACACTAAACACAGAAGGAAAGAATCATTGCATGAGACTTCACTAAAAATAGGAACTTCTGTTCATCAAAGGACACCGTGAACGCCACAACACATCCATTAGGACGCCTCACTAGCTAGACTAACTCGGGGTAGTCTATGCCTCAAGTTAGGAAGTCTAACTACCCCGAGCGTCCATGAGGGTGTGGAAGGCCTGGAACGCACACGTTACCGGCGCGAATGTAAAAGGGCACAGTCACTTTGGAACCAGTCGGTAGTCTCTTAGTCATACACCAGTCATGGGGCCCAGACATTCCACCCCTGGCTGTTTATCCAAGAGAAAAGATGACACAAGTCCACACGAAGAATTGCTCGCGAATGTTCACACTAGCCGTACATGCATCAGCAGCTGAGTGGATAAGCAAATTGTGTCATGTCCACACAATGGAATACTGCTCAGCACAGAAAGAGGGCAACCACGTACATATTCATACATCTCAATATACTCAGGGGAGGAGGCCAAACCCAAAGAGTTCATGTTGTGTAATTTAATTTATGTGAAACTGTAGAGAAGACAAACCTAACCTAGATGGGAAGAACATCTGTAATTTCCGAGGGCCAGAGGTAAAAGGAGGTGGGATTAAGAACACATGAGAAATTTGAGAGGTGATGGAAAAGTTCTATGTCTTGCTCGTGGCAGCGGCTACACAGGTGCATATTTTCCCAAAACTCAACAAATGGAAACTTTAGATGGATACATGTTACAGTATGGGAATCATACCTCAAGTTGACTTTTTATTTTTTTATTTAAAAAAATTTAATGTTGACTTATTTTTGAGAGAGAGAGACAGAGTGTGAGCAGGGGAGGGGCTGAGACAGAGGGAGACACAGAATCTGAAGAAGGCTCCAGGCTCTGAGCTGTGAGTACAAAGCCCGACGCAGGGCTCAAACCCACAAACAGTGAGATCATGACCTGAGCCGAAGTCAGGTCATGACTGACTCAACCAACTGAGCCACCCAGGTGCCCCTAAAGTTGACTTTTCTAAAAGGACACCATCAAGAGGATGAGAAATGAAACCCCCGACTTGGAAGAGTCATGTGTGACGCTCATATCCGCTGGCATGCTGAAGTGCACGTGTACCAGCTCTTCCCAGTTCTGTGTGCACACACCATTATGGCGGCCGTGGTGGGTTCACACCACAGGAACAGGGACATGCAGCAAATCAGGGTTTGTTTTGTTTCATTTTATAGAGAGCCAATTATTAAACATTTATCACACACCACTGCATATATACAATTAACTCATATTTGGAATATATAATACATTTTTATAAGCCAATGAGAAATACAAATAATGCTAGTTTTTTTTAATGTTTTTTATTTATTTCTAGGAGAGAGAGAGACAGAGTGAGCAGGGGAGGGTCAGAGAGAGAGGGAGTCACAGACTGAAACAGGCTCCAGGCTCTGAGCTGGCAGTCAGCACAGAGCCTGACGCGGGGCTCGAGCCCATGAACCGCGAGATCATGACCTAAGCGAAAGTTGGACGCTTAACCGACTAAGCCACCCAGGTGCCCCTAAATAATGCTAGTTTTAACAAAAGGCAAGCAAATGACTTGAACAGGCACCTCACAAGAAAAGACATCTAAATGTTCAAGGAGCAGCTTTACTCATCAAGGAATGCAAATTAATGTCATGATGTGGTAACCTTACACCCTTTCCGAAATGGGTAAAAAATTTTAAAGGCTGACAATACCTCTTTTTTTATAAAAGATGCAGAGTGATGAGAAGTCATAAGATTGGCCAGTGGGAATGTAAATGTTTTTAGAAAGCCGTTGGACAAAAAATATATCTGCTCAACTGCACCGATGCCTAACATTCGACCTAGAAACCCCACTCGTGGAATCTCACTGCAGACAGATGGGCAGATATGTCCACCAAAACAAAATGCACAAGAATGTTTATAGCAGCATTATTAATATTAGCCCAAATCTGGAAATAACCCAAAACTCCATCACTGGGAAAGAGTGGATCAATCATGCACAGCAGGTTTAATGTAACAACTTTTATGGCACAGCAAAAAACGAATGAACTACAGAATC